GAGTCACAATGCTGAAAGATGAGTCCAATAATTGGGTTGAAGGTAAAGAGGAGGTGGGGCAAATAGTGAATAGATTATTTAAGAAGTTGTTTCAAGAGGACAATTACAGCAGGCCCTGGATACAAACTCACCACTCTTGGCCACATGTGTCGGGGGAGGAATGGGGGGAAATTTCAGGAACTATTACTGATGATGAGATAAAACAAGCAATGTTCTCAATAGGGGGATTCAAAGCCCCGGGTGAAGATGGCTACCCAGCCTTGTTTTTCCAGAAAAACTGGGCGATAGTAGGAAACAGTGTGTGCCAAACAGTAAAGAACTTGTGGGAAAATGTTGACAGCCTAAAGAAGGTGAATACTACCCTCATTTCACTTATTCCAAAGGTTGACAACCCTGAAAAGGTGAACCAATTCAGACCAATCTCCTTATGCAACGTCATTTACAAGTGTGTCTCCAAGATTATTGTAAGAAGACTGAAGAATATCATGAACAAGGTAGTCTCACCTTTCCAAGTTAGCTTTGTACCTGGAAGAAATATCCATGATAACATTGTTATTGTGAATGAGATGATACACTCAATGAGAAGGAAAAAAGGAAAGAAAGGATTTATGGCAATTAAAGTAGACCTGGAGAAAGCATATGATAGAATAAGCTGGGGATTCATGGAAAGGGTTCTGAAGGAAATGGGATGCCCTGAACATATGTCACAAAGAATTATGGAGTGCATTCACACTTCTTCTACCCAAATTCTGTGGCATGGAGAAAGACTTGAGGAGTTGAAGCCGTCTAGAGGACTAAGACAAGGAGACCCTATTTCTCCCTATCTCTTTGTGCTTGGCATGGAAAAACTGACACATATAATCCTTGATAGAGTGAGTGCGAAAAAATGGAAAGGAGTGAGAGCAGGCCGAAATGGCCCAACCATTTCCCACATGATGTTTGCAGATGACCTAGTTTTGTTTGCTGAAGCTAACCCTAACCAAATTGATATTATTGTTCAGTGTTTGCAAGTATTTGGAGAAATTTCTGGACATAAAATCAGTGAAGAAAAAACTCACATTTACTTCTCACCGAATGTGAGTATGCAGATCAGAAAAAGTATATGTAACAGGAGCAAATTCAAGCAAGTGGACAATTTGGGCAAATACTTGGGAGCAGAAATCTCTTTCCCCAAGAGGCGTAGAGATAAGTACAAGACAATTGTGGCTAAAGTGCAAAGACGGTTACAAGGATGGAAAGCAGCTGGTCTCTCACTTGCAGGAAGAATGACATTGATCAACTCAGTGACCTCATCAATGGCACTCTACCTTATGCAACATGAGCGCATGCCGCAAGGAGTGATTGAGGATGTAGAAAAAGTACAAAGACAATTCTTATGGGGGGAGCAAGATGGAAAAAGAAAATGGCACCCAATTGCCTGGAAATCAGTTTGCAAACCAAAAACTGAAGGGGGACTTGGAGTGAAAAACCTTTCGACAATGAACGAAGCATTCCTACTCAAGTTACTCTGGAGGATTTATGAACAACCAAACGAGCTATGGGTCCGTGTGCTTCAAGGAAAGTATGGTAAACAAGCAGCAGAAAGGGGGGAGTTTGAAGCCAAGCAAGGAGACTCCAGGCTATGGAAAGAACTGGCGAAAATGAGAGAAATGTTCAAATCCAACATAGAGTGGAAGGAACTAGAACAAGAGAATAGACTTGTATGGAAGTCAACAGATGATGGAAATTTCACTACTGCTAGTGCGTATAAATGGCTAAGGAAGGAAGAGCAGATATCAACATGGAGTCCTTGGAAACAAATCTGGAAACTACAGGTTCCCGAACGCATCAGAACATTCATGTGGTTGACATTTAATCAGAGACTACCAACTAAAGCAATAACAAGTAAGTGGAATGGTAGCTCTGATACATGTGAACTTTGCCATAGTACTCGTGAGGATTGGTTACATACCTTGAGAGACTGCCCCCAAGCTAAACAAGTGTGGACGGCGCTTGAATGGCAGAAGCACGACAGACTATTTTTCCAAGTGAATGGGAGAACCTGGTTGAAAAGAAACATCAGCAACAGGGGGAAAAAAGTGGAAGATTACAATTGCCCAGAAGTTTTTGCTATTGGGTGCTGGTTGATTTGGAAATGGAGAAACCTCCAATTACATGATGAGGAGTTCGTTCGTCCTTACAATGAAGCTGAAGCTATCAAAAACTACTTAAGGAATTATAAGAACAAAGAAGATGCCACTACAGGAGTAGAAGGAGGAGGCGAGATAAGAATGATATGTTGGAAGCCACCAGAAAAGAATTGGTGCAAGCTGAACTCCGATGGGTGGAGCTCACATGAGGAGCAGGCAGGATGCGGGGGCGTAATAAGGGGAGACTGTGGAGAGTGGTTACAAGGGTACTCGATCAAATTGGAAAGATGCACAGTGCTGGAAGCAGAACTATGGGGAGTATATGAGGGACTCAAACTATGCTAGAAACTGGGAATGAAGAAAGTGGAAGTGGAGTGCGACGCTTTGCAAGCGGTCGAGGTGATCAGAAAAAATCTTCAGGGACGAAGTGAAGTAAATCGACTTATCAAGGACATACTCCAAAAAGAATGGCAAGTTCGAATTAAACATGTGTTCAGAGAGGGGAACAGATGTGCGGATAAAATAGCCTCCCTCTGCACGAGGCAAAAGGAGCATTCAATGATTTGGATAACGCCTCCGCGGGTTGTGCAGGAGATTCTTAAGGAAGATCTGGCTGGAATAGGAGTTCCAAGATATGTTGTTAATACTTAGTTTTTGGGCTTAGCCCGCTTTTGTCACCAAAAAAAAAAATTCCAACAAACTTCGTTTGGCTGTGCCTGGGATCACGTTTGGAGGCCTTTTGATTTAACATTTCTACAATCTGATGTTTGGGTTTCAAATGGATTTGGATAGCATGAGAAGTGTTTTTAAAAGATATTTTTTCACAAATCAAAATAAACTCCTCCACATATTTACTTTCTATACTATAAAATCACTTCTAAAATCATAGTTTGGTTTTTACCTAAACACGTAAAATGCAATGAAACTCATGAATCTCGCTTTTAACGCTGGGAGAATAACGGTGCAGTTTGGATTTTGCCAGAAAAGACGAAATTGAGGGAATAAACGGATGAGTAAACAGCCAAAAGCTTTTGGTATTTATTTTAAAAATACCATGTTTGTATGATTTCTGATATATATTTATTCATTAAATATATTTAATTAAGTATTTTTAGTATTTTTTTAATTTATTTCAAATAATAAATTATTTTTATTTTTAATATTTTTTTTACAATTATCACATTATATGCATATAATATTAAATATGTATTACTCTGCTTAATAAAATTTATATTCTTTTCTGTCATTTTATATCTAAATTTATTTTTTATTAATCATTTAAATAAATTATATTTTTTCAAAATAATTTTTTTATAAAAATCAATTCAAATATAAATTACATTACATATCTAATTTTTATCTAATCTAACTTCAGATTGAAAAAAAAAAGTTACCCAAGACACACTAATCCAAACACACCTATACGTATGTCAAAGATGTTTTGGGTATTTTATATTCATGATGATTAACAAGTTACTAACAGCGATTCTCCTCAAAGCTCAAGAGAAGACTACGAGCTCGTTTTGGTTGTTGACTATAAGCATGTTTAATATAAGTCGAGATAAAAAAATTTCTTATACTTACTCGTCTGTAAACTGCGATTAAAAACTGCTTATGAGGTATTTTAAATGGCCCTGTATATTATGAAATTTTGATTGGTTCGTATGCCACATTTTTCTTCAATAACAGTGACTACTTTATTGAAATTGCATTAGTCTGACAGATTAAAATTTCAATTAAGTTAAACTATAAAGACAAAAAACTGGGCAAGCGACGCCTTTCTCTCGCATTCAAGATTTTAAACCGATAGGAAACAAGCAGTGTTGAACCAAACTGTCAGGGACCGTGCGGAGCTATTTAGTGCTTGTTTTTTTTTTTTTAAGAATATACCGCTACACAACAAGGATGACTGATCACAGACAAACTTATTTTTTTTTATCTTTAAAATACTTTATTTTTCTATCTATAAATATAAGTCATTTTCAATATATTTCATACTCATCAATAAAAATTTTAGATTTTATCAACTCTTATTTAAAATTCATAACTCTTTAATTTTATTCTTATTTGATATACATTATATTTTATATAAATAAAATCAACATAATAATAAATAAAAGATAAAATTATATATGTATATAAAAAAAATTTCCTGCTGCCTTATAAATAGAACATAAAAAATGTTCTTTATTTCTTCCATATAAATAGAAGCAAACGAATAACATAAAATGGAACTGACATCCGCATCATAGATGCATGACACAGTTTATCAGACGTATTGCTATTTACGCCACAATTTAGTTTGTTCCTCTAATGTGATGCTGATAATTCAACTGATAATGGGCAATTAATGTCGAAAGAAAGGAAGGTTATCATCCTTTTTTTTTCCCTTTCAAAAATAGTACCATCAGCGTCAGGCAAGAACTGGAAAATCTTCCGGTCATCCCGTCCAGTATACCTTTTCGGCAATAAGAACTGTTTTTAAATGGCCATTTTTAACTGAAAATTCCAAGGTCTTTTGTTTTTTTTAATGGCTGGCAACCAGAGAAAATAAGAAGAAAAATCCGAGCTTATCTCTAAAAATCAGAGTCTTTTTTTTGTTGGGTCTTTTCAAGTCCTGCATCTCGATATATGCGTTTTTATCAAGGAAAATCAATTCGTGCAGTGCCTGGGCACACTAAATCTGGAGCAAATTGGGGTCTAAGAAAATTGCTAAGAAAACGAAACCATCTTGAAAATAGATGAAAGTGCAAGACGACAACAAATCTCCGACACAGTTGATAAACCCATCTCAAGGGGAACCAAAGGAGAAAATGAAAAACAGAAGGGGCGGGACTTGTCCTGGGTACTCACAGTGACCCTTCGTCAGTTTCAAGGTGTAGAAACCGATCCGCCGGTGGCTGAAAGTCGCTGCTGCATCTGCGATTAAGATAAGCAGAGAAATAATATCACTTGAATTCAAATGCAGAAATGAAATACATTAACTTTGCCTGTGACACACTCCTAGGCCCAAACCCCCTTTACCTTGAACAGAGTCTCAAGCCTGCCCTTCACCGAGGAATACTCTTGTTTTGCTTGTTGCAAGCAGTTCAGACACCTGAGAAAGGCTTTTCTAGTCAGCAAAATTACGTTACGCCACATGCATGTTATTTCACGGAATTCGTATTATGTTCGAACATGGGATGGTCAAGAAGCTCTCACCCTTCTACGTTCTGCATCTCGCAGTAGTTTCTGAAAGTAATGCAAATTCTCCCAACTCGCTGTGCTCCAATGCTGTGTTATTTCAGATCAAACCCAATCATCAGTCCAGTGATTTAAACAACCATTACAGCAAGAGACAAATTTGCCACATGAACAAAATACCTGGAGCTACTGCCTTTCAACTGGTGAACTTGGGCATCCAGTCTTTTAAAATCAGTGTTTTCCTGGCTTCTGTTTTATAGTAATTAATATTGAACGAGCAAGTTAAGGACGATACATAGAAGAACAGAGAAAAGAAAAAAAAAAAGAAAAGAAGCAGCATTTGATTCAAAAGCATAAAAACAAGGAATTGTGGTGTCAGAATAGTGTATGGGTTCGTACAGTCCCTTTGCCAGTTCATCAAGCAGCCTCTCAGCTTCTTCAAAGAAGAGAGATACCACTTCTACTACAAACTGTGGGTTGCTTTCATCCTGAAGTTGCTGGAGCTGGATAAATTGTTCATCTAGATAGCCCTTTGCAAAGCAGAAAACAGATGGAAAAGCACAACAAACAGATTATAAACTCGCCATTATGCTTCCCAGATAGTGTTGTGGTATTTAACTGAGCAGGACATCATACTTACCTCTTGAAATAGGGAGGCGGTATAATCAACTAGCTGCCTCTGCAACTTAACCGCACCTTCCATTGCTGCCCTCTCTGTGTTGAACCACTGACTTTAGATCTTGGACAATCAATCCTTCTTTTTTCCGCTCCCAAGTTTATATGCCGCGAGTTCTGTTCTCTGGACTGGTAATTACTGATTCCGAGATAGAGACTTGGTAAATGACCAAATGTGCTAACCTCTGATGGGGTGTTTTATACCAAAATTGAGTTTAAAACCAAGTGTTTTGTGGTGTTTCTGTTCCTCAAATATTATTTACGAGGAACTTCAACCCTATACCTAATATTTGGGAATGCAGGATCCAAGACTCGATGTCACGTACCATCTTATCTTGGGTCATTTTCATTCAGTAATTATTGCTTCTTATTCCAGTGCAGTTATAGAGGTAAAACGAATAAATATAAACAATTTACAAAATCTTGGAGATGATCTTGAGATTGGCCCCCGGACGACAAATTGAAGCCGTCAATTATGGTGTGACAGTCATGTTTGTTCTCGTGCCAACTCACTGCACTTGCTTCATTGCTCCTTCGAGAGAGGCCAAATAACTCCATTGTCATGGAGCTAAACTTCAACAGGAAATAACCCAAAAACGACATCCATTACTGTTACATCGAGTATCCCAAGATATTTTCCTTCGATTTTTGCGTCTTTGTAAAGAGACAAATGAAATGCTAGGACAGTGGAGAGTGAGTTAAAAAGAACGTGGTAAATCCTTCTATCAACAACAGCAACTAGGCGTGGTACAAGATTGCCTCAAGGTTATTCAAGAGCATGTCGAGTTATTACCTTGTGTTACCTGCTGTCGCTTTTTTTATTGCTGTCCCATTATATCTCACGCCCCTGTGCTTTTCTATCATTTCTAAGATTACCGCTGACGCTTTTGTTGTAGTTTTTGCACCTGTCCACGTTTGACTGGTTCATCTCTTGAAAACGAGAAACAATTTACCATAGTTAAAAGCAGATGTGTGTGTGTGTGTGTGTGTGTGTGTGTCTTTATTGTGTCTCGTTTCTTTCTTGGTGGCTGCATATTGTTTTTCTCTTTGGGGGCGGGAATCAAATTATTGGGGAATCGGAGTGAAAATCTCCTGGAGGGGGCCTGGAGGTGCTTTTACACACGTGTCACCAGCTTAGACGTTTCAGTAGGAGCAATCTGTGAACAGTTAGAAGGTACTCGTGCTCTAAGTATGCACGAGTTGTCTCTCTGAGCACCACGGGAGATAGAGGTCGCTTAGACGTAACTGTTGCATTTATACCCAAGTCAAATGCGAAATGATTTTTAGTTGGGGAAAAAAAAACAACGACACTTCAAATTTTTTCTCTGGAAACAAATTATATAATTATAATATCGATAACATTGAAAGGAAGATATTCATAAGAGGAGAGAGAGATGGAAATAACTAAAAATCTTGTTTGATGAGTTCAAATGCCAGATTGAGGAAGGGAGGAATACAATCTCAATGATAAAAAGATAGAAGACCTGATGAACTAACATGTTATCACTAGTCATTGACGGTCGCCTCGCGAAAGTCATCTGGGCACGTTTATTTTTATTTTTGTATTATTATCAGCACTCTACCAAACGTAAAAATACAAAAATATTTCATTTATTTCAATCTCATTCATATTTTTCTTTTTATGCTGTCCAAAGGCAAGAACAAGAGCAGACAGTAGTAAGTCTTGGGCGGGCGTCTCTTGGAGCCACAAAGAAAATGGCACTGTATCACAAAGTGTGATCTTAGCTGTTGCCACCAGAATTTCAAATAAGGATGCTGATATCGATTGGAATAAGTTAAAATGGAGCATCGGTTGCCCCCATCAAATCACTTGATTGCTTTCGCTTTCAAAGGTGACATTTTTCAACGGTGGGGTACCGCAAGAACGTTAATGTGCCAATGACTGTTTCTGCACACACCATTTATTCAGACCTCGTTCATGTTTCAAAATTATTTTCCTACATCCCCACATTATTTCCCGCCAGAGTTTAGGCAATATACATTTTCATTCATATACATCGACTTTGCTGTAGAACATGAAGCATTTATCCGACTCCACAGCACTGCATCAGCTTAATCAAGGCAACTGGAACATCGTTTTCCAACTGTTCAAATTTTCAAGAATTTTATGCACTCAAAATTGACGCGTTTTGAACTTTGGGCAAGAAAATCCTCAGTTTCTGGATGCAAAATGAAATTGGTCAATACCAACTGTGCATGGAAAAATGGCGCTAATAAAGATTACGGGCTGGACGCTGGATTTGAAATTCAGGAGAAGGAACCACCTTTTTCAATAATTAACCAAACTTTACATAACTGAGTTATGCGCTACCCACATATTACTGCAGAGGTTTCGATGCAGCAGTTATGTGAGTAGCATATTCATACTGTCATGTACAATTCACTTCATTTTCAATGCACAAACACTATAAAAAGCCAGTCTTTACTCTCGTAAGAAACTACCAATAGCTGACTCGCTCCAGATTTATGTACGTCATCTGAGTACTAACAATCACAGCTCTCAAGATCCCAGGGCAATCTTCTTGTGTTGATTGAGATCATTTAGATACTTGGTTGAGTTGTACTCTTGTGCATCCAGAAGCTCTTGTGAGTATGTTCTAAGGAAAGACCGCCTCCGGCTTGCATTTGTAGGTTGCCTCACAAAGTCATCATCCCTTAGCAGTATTGCAGCCTGCTCCCCCAACATAAAACATGAGTTCATGACAATGTCATTGAGCAGGATCTGAATTTGAATCAAGCAGTTGTAGAAATTCAACTTTCTAGGTTATGCACTTGCCTGACTCATGCAGGGACGTAAGACAGGAGAGTGCTCGATACACAAAGATGCGGTCAAAATGACCCGATCCATCTGCTCACGGTCAAAGTTGTTGTGAAGACAAGGATCAACAAGGTCCTTAATATTATTATCCTCAACCAAAGGCTTTGCCTACAAGGAATCACCATGAGTCAAAGTTTCTCATGTAAGGACAATAAGATGATGCAACATAAGACAATCTTTAGAGAAAATGATTTACCCATAATACAACACTAAGCTGATTTTGATCCACAGCTGGACGCCCAGTTATAAGCTCCAACAGTATAACCCCAAAAGAATAAACATCAGTTTTCTCGTCCACCATACCATGCATGAAATATTCAGGAGCAAGGTACCTGCCAGGCAGATAGAGAGAGGAGGATATCATATCATTTATTACAACCTCAAACTCTGGAGTAAATTGTTTTTTAAAATTTTGCTGCATACCCAAATGTGCCTTCAAATTTCGATACATTATGGTGGGTGCATTGTCTGGGTAACCATTTTGCCAGCCCAAAATCACAAATCTGGGGAAAATCTCATCTAATCATGATCTGATAAATTAGATAAAAGAGAGATGGTTCATGTTGCTACCTTGATGATGTAACTGTTTGAGAACTATTCTTAACATTGGATATTGAAAACTCATAAAAAAAACAGATAAAAATACCACCAACCAAAAAGCCACTAATTTGAAAGATAGCCCCTTGGTAGGATTATAATTCATACGACTGGCTACAAAACAACTATGGCTTTATGTGAAATCGTAAGAGCATGATGTTCATGATTTAATATATCTCTATGAATGATTTTCATGTGACAATTCTCGTGAAGGCAAAGGAGGCCAAAGAATGAATATGTGTAGCCTTTTGAACCTGAGGTACCAAGGTAACAATCAATGCATAAAATTTATTTCATCATTCCATCCAAGAAAACACAAAAACTACCTGTGGCTCGAAGCTTTCAGTGAGCAGGATATTATCTGACTTAATATCTCTATGAATGATTCGCCTGTGACAACTCTCGTGAAGGTACAGGAGGCCATTGGCTACGCCCAGAGCAATCTTATATCTTTTACTCCAATCTAACTTGTTTTTACTTGGACCTGAAATAGGTCAGCAAGGAATATAAGAAGTAATTGATTAAATCCACCTAAACAGCAATAGTTCACCCACAGGGAAAATGCAGACTAGCTACAAACCATGAAGGAGAGATCCTAAGCTTCCCAGACGAGAAAGTTGGAACACAAGGTGCATTCCTCCTACATCACATCCAATAAGCTTTGCAATATTGGGGTGGTCAACATGAGCAATAATGCCTAGTTCGGATAGAAAGCTTGCCGTCCTCTCGTCTGGAGTCCCTTTAGTCAGACTCTTGATAGCTACTAGACTCCCGTCTTGGAGACGACCCCAGTAAACTTCAGAATAGCCACCACTTCCAATCAAATTTTCTGCAAAAATTAAAATTCTGTAAGAATATCCATTTAGATAGGTAGCACAGATTTCCAAATGAGTACTTTTCCAATCAAATTATGCTATACTTGACTTGAGTAGGGTAAAAAATAAAGGGCTTAATTCCAAGAACAGACTACGGACCATTACTAAAATTGTTGGTTGAATTTCTCAATTCAGAGAGTGTGAAATTCACCAACGAAGATCTGAAGTTGTATACATTAGTCAAAACAGGATCTTCTCCACTGCTTTTGCTTTTCCCTTTTGGTATCGTTGGCACACCAAGAGGAGGGAAGGAAGCTAGACGCTTCATTGATCTCTTTTTCAAATTTTTGAAATATTTGCTCCAACTAATTTGTGCCTTGGACCTTGAACAACCGTTCTCCATTTCGGATGATTGTAGACAAGAATCAAAATCACGAATGCAGGCTTCTAACACTCCTCTAGGAGACGAAACATCTTCTTTCTCTTTCTCCAGTTCAAAATGTCTCAAGTCTGACAGAGGATTGAAATGGTATTAGAGGCAGACAAAAAAAAAAAAAAAGAGTAGTTTAATCTTAGGGGTGCAAGAACCTTGGGCAGAAGTGGAGGAACGAAACAGAGAGCTTCGTTTTTTATGTTTGACTAAAGGAGCGTCATCCGCTGGGACTACCTTTGTTTGGTTGACGGAATCCATTTTATTGTTCCTGCATAAAGAATACAATCTCAAAGCTTTAGCAAAGGAAAACAACCTATCCCTGTAGTTGTTTACGCGCATTTGTTGCCTTC